CCCAAATAATTTGCTACCAGCGGAATCCTCAAAGTATCCGGGTAAAAAAAGCCCACTCCTCACCTTGTGTTATTCCACTGAAGTCAGCAGCATTAGCGTCAAAAGCCTTCACCATGCCTAGTGCTTTCAGTTGATCCTTCAAATGGAATGTCGATTCGATCTTGAATTTTGGAATCTCCAAGCTCACGTATTGTGGCTGGAAGCCGTCGAAGAGTTTGTTGATAGCATCTCCAGAGGTCAAGGATGTCTCTGGAAAAGTTCAGTTCATTTCAGTTTTTGTTATAATTTTGGCTGTTCTAGACACACAGACCCCCTCCCCCCCACACAAACACACACATACACACTCAAACTCACACAAACACACACACAAACACACATACACTCACACAAACACACACACAAACACACATACACCCCCCCCCCTCCGCCATACACACACCAAACATAATGTTACTCTTATTAATTCCTTTCAAAACTGTCTGAGTATGTACAGGAGAACAAGACTCATCCAGTGCAGTGATCCCACCCCCCACACACACACCAAACATAATGCTATAGTCATCTATTCCTGACAAAACTGTCTGTGTATGCACAGGAGAACGAGACTCACCCAGTGCAGTGATCCCACCCACACCACACATACACACAGCAAACATAATGCTATATATAGTAATTAATTCCTGACCAAACTGTCTGTGTATGTACAGGAGAACGAGACTCACCCACACACACACAGCAAACATAATGCTATATATAGTCATCAATTCCTGACAAAACTGTCTCTGTATGTACAGGAGAACGAGACTCACCCAGTGCAGTGATCCCATCCACACTCTGCGGCAGCACGACGTACATGGAGAAACGGCCTCCTTTGAAGGGAATCCTCACCATGTCAGCTTTCAGGGAGTTGTCACTCTTGAAGTTTACGTAACGGTCATCTCTCATCATGTCAACCTGATTGAGATGGACCAAGAGAGGGATGGTCTGTGACATTTGCAGTCATGAGGAAGTCGTTGTCGTCGTCGTTGTTGTTGTCGTCGTCGTTGTTTGCTGTTATTGCTGTTGTTGTTGTTGTTGTTGTTGTTGTTGTTGTTGTTGTTTTGTTGTTGTTGTTGTGTGTTTGTGTGTG